CATTCCTCCCTCTCCATCCCTCTCTCCCTCCCCGTGCAGAGCGCACTCGCCGCCTGTTGTTCCGCGGTGCTCAGATGTACCTGGAGGGTTCCTGTGTCTCTCGCTCCGCGGGGCCGTGCGGGGCTGTCCCTGCCGGGGGACGCGGCTGGGGAGAGCAACTGCTCATCGGCCTCGACGGGAAACTGCTGCGGCCCAACGAGAGCGGTGAGTGAGTGGTGCCCCGCCGAGTCTCGGCTTGTGCTGGGCAGGGACAGTCACAGAGCGACCAGAGCTGGAAGGGACCCTTGAGGATCATCCAGTCCAACTCCTGCCCTGCACAGACATCCCTGACAATCACACCCTGTGCCTGAGAGCATTGGCCAAACACCTCTGGAGCTCTGTCAGCCTTGGGGCTGTGACACTGCCCTGGGGAGCTGTTCAGTGCCCAAACACCTCTGGGGGAAGAAGAACCATTTGCTAATCTCCAGCCTAACCCTCCCCTGACACAACTTCAGCCCATTCCCTTGGGTCTCTCACCAGAGATGAGGTCAGTGTTGCCCCTCCACATCCCCTCAATAGAATCATAGAATCAACCGGGTTGGAAAAGACCTCCAAGATCATCGAGTCCAACCCTACTGCCGTTACTAGACCATGGCACTAAGTGCCACATCCAGTCTCACTTTGAAAACCTCCAGGGATGGTGAATCCACCACCTTCCCCTTGTAAGGAAGCTGTAAACTGCCATAAGTAGCTGTATACTGCCCAGTTCTCCTGTATTTCCTTAAAGGCAGGGTTAGATTTGAGCTTCACTGACGGATCTGGGACCTGTCCCATGCATGATCTGCTTGAGAATCCCTTAGTGACTTGGACCTGAGCAGGGAAAGAACCACCAAATCTCCCAGCAGTTCTCCCTGTGCCGATGTGTTCTGCTGCCACCTGTAGCTGTGAGCTGAGACACCACGCTCTGCTCCTCCTCCAGGTGCTTGCTCTGTCATATTGTAGTCTCCATCTCTCCTCTGTTGTGCCTTTCCCGAGCAGTTCCACCCGTGGGAGCCTCCAGAGCCTGCTCATCGTGTGTGAGGACAGCTGATGTCAAGGAGGTGTGTGCACAGTGTGACCGCTTTGTCTGCCAGAGCTGCCGCAGGCTCTGCAGCGGCTGCAGCACAGTCACCTGCTCCTTGTGCTCCACGGCAGAGTAAGTACCTTCCCAGCTTGTAAACTTAATTATACATGCCCTAAAACAATGGACCCAGAAGATAACTAACTCATCCACGTAAAGGACTTCAGCTCTTCCCATACTTTGGCAGCAGTAAAACTCTGGAGTTTTATGTCTCATGAACCACAGTGCAACTCTAGTTCAGCTTCTCATTTAGATGTTGTAGGAGGCAAAAATTCCTCTTGCTTTGCCAGCAGCAGTACAGTATGTGAGCAGGGATGAAGGGATGAAGGTTTTGCCCTCCTTGTTAACAGTTCTCTGGTACAAAGATGCTGAGTGTGCTGTGTGGGAGTCCAGTGGCTGCAGTTGATAATGGAATGGGATGGTGTTCTTTGTTACATTCCAGAAACAGTGGACACACTAACTTTGTATCCTTATGGTTTTCTTTTTGTTTCCCCCCAGTTATGGTGATGTGGGAGAACAAGTTCTCTGCAATGGCTGCTCAATATTTCAAGTCTGAAACTTGAGGAAATAACCTTTGTGGCTAAAATGGCCATGAATTTCATGAAGTCTTCTCCTTCCAGCTGGTCAATTTATCCTTTTAGCATGTGAATGAATTATGGAATTTCTATGTTTTATATCTTTATATTGTACTTTTAAATATTGTAGCTAAATAAACATTTATATTTTAAGGATTTTCTAGATCATATCGAGTCAGCTTTCTCCTGTGGGAAATTGACGGGAGGAATGTGCACCCGATGGTGTCCAGCAAGACTCCTTTATTGTAAGCCATCATCCATCTTTTATACAGTGCATGAACAACTATGCTTATTGTTCTCTTTACTATTACCTAAACCCTAAAAGTTACATTTGTGTGCTTTCTTAGCTTGCAGGACAACTATACCTATTATTCACTTTAGCATTACCTAAGCTCTACAAGTTACATTTATATACTATGTCTGCTTGCAGCTGCAGCTGTGAAGAAGTCTTTGTTTTCTGGAGAATCCTTCTTTGTTTTCCCAGGATAGTTCATCCTTGGGTTTGCAACATTGCTGAGCTTTCCCAGATAGCTTGTCCTTTGGCTGCAACATTATGCTGCAAAAATAACTTCTAAGGCTGAGAAGCTAAATGCCTGAGGCCTACTTCATGGTTATATGCTCAAAGCTCCCATAGACCTTTGCTCGACTCTTGCTCGCACAGTGCTCTCTGGGAGCTGTGCCCCTGTTCCCTTAGCCATTCTTCAACATTCTCCTTTGCCCTAGTTGTGATTTGCCTGTCTGGAAGGAACCACTTGAAGCTCTTCCCTGGTGTTCCTGATGTGCTGCAGGATTCAGAGTGTTCTCTCCACATGCTGCTCATGTTAGGACACACTTTTGTGGGATCAGAATAGAAATCAGTTGCTCCTTGTGTGCTTTCAGGTGAGTGTGAATCCATTCTGGACACACATTCTTTGTGAGCTTCCTAGTAGGAAAATCAGCCAGACCTGAAGTCTTTTCCAAATGGAGAATCCTGATTTCTGGGTAAATATTTTTAAGCTATCACAAACAGCTTGTGATTCCTGACAGCTTGAATGGTTTTCATCCTTCCATGGTAACTTTGGTGTACTATTGCTCTTTCTGTCAGGCTTGGAGCAGGAAAGCCTTTCTCAGTAGTTGATGCTCCAGTGCACTCCTTACAAGGTCTTTCTTGGAAAGTAGCTTGTGTGTCTGAGTTGGTCATCTGCACTGCAAACTTCACGTTGGCCTGAATATCCCTCCCAAGATATCTCAGGAGGTGGTGTGGGAGGTGATCAGCTCTCAGGTGAACATCTCCATGCACCAGCTCACTCCTCATTTTCACAGCACTGCACTGACCAGTTTGCTTGGCATGGTTTGTGCTGTAGGACTGAAGTAAAGTACTGCTGAAGGGAGTAGAACTGCCCTCAAGGCAGTTTTCTTTTACTATTTTTGCTCTGTTTTTAAAAACAAAAAAGATTTTTCACCTTGCAAACCAACTATGTGTAAGCCAAAGCTACAGCAAAATACTGATTTATGTGGCTGATTTCTGCCTGTGGGATGGAAAGAATAGATTTGACAGGCAAAGAGATCCTTGTGGCACAGCTAATGGTGTGTTCCTCAAGTTCTTTGCCCTGAATTCCCAAAGCCAAGTCTGCTCCTCATGCTTTTCAGTCTTCTCAGCTGTGATGAGTATATTTTGGGTGGAGTAACAGCTTTTTACTTCTTCCCTGCCACCTTGGCCATTTCTCTTTGAAGAGATTGAAAGGCCCTTGCAGTGCAAGTGGAGAGCCTGACTTCTCCTCATGGGGACACCTTGATTTGTCATGGTATTGAAAGCATTTCTGGGTCAGAATCCTGCAGCTACCCAAAGACAGCAGTGGATGCTTCAGCCTAGGGTGGGGGTGGTTGTTGCTGAGGAGCAGCAGGTCATGGCTGCACATCCCATGGCTTTGGGTGTGTCAGCTACAATGAGGTGCAACGTGATGTTCCAGCCCCTGTGCAGCACTTTGGGCAGAGACACTTTGGGTCTTTGTGCCCTTTAGGGTGTCACTGGGTCAACCAGCTGTGTGCTAGACTCTGGCTGATGGATCTGGTTTGCTTCCCTGTTCTTTGGAACTGGGTCAGGTGGGAGAGTGTACTGGTTCTTCCTTCCAGTCTCCAGGCTGTGAAGTGTATCTTGTCCTCACCCTATAACAAAAATAATGTCAGAATCATAGAACCATCAAGGTTGGAAGAGCCCTCGAAGACTATCAAGTCCAACCATTAACCTGTCACTGCTGGAGCACCTAAACCCTAAACCAGATCCTCCAGTGCCAGATTCAGATGCCTCCTAAACACTCCCAGAGATGGTGACCCCATCACCTCCCTGGGCAAAAGTCAGATCAGCCAGTAGTGAGAGAAGCAGTCAGAGTGTGCAGGATTTCCACAGCATTATCCATCTTTCCTCAGCTGTACCAGGTGAGGTCAGGCTGAAGGCAGATCCCTGGGGCAGTTCCCAGCTGTCAAGTACTGCAGGGCAGAGAAAACTGTTGTTCCTGTGCAATCATCTCAAAGCATAAAGCTGTTTTATGAATGGGAAGAATCTGTTGATTACTACATTTAAATGTTAGTTTTAGGGAAGGATTTTACAACTTGGCTGTGTTTCATTTGATGCTTTAAGCAGTGAACAAAAGTGTTTTTCAGTCAAACATATTTTTCCAACTGAAATCTTTAAGTATGTGTCTCCCTTTTCTCATTCTTTCCCAAGGGTGAGAGACTGAAAATAACTGTTTTGCTTCTAGGTTCCAGGAGAGATGAGACATGTTGTTTACAAATGATTTGTGGTTCAGAGTAGTTGCTGGATGTGTTTTTTTGGCTCATTTAGTCCCTGCTGTATTTCACAGAAAGTTGTCCTCTGTAAACAATGACATGGATTTCATGGCTTAATGTTCTTATTTGTTATCCTGGAGCTGCTTGAAAGATAGTTGTGTGTCAGGACAGATTCCTGATGCAGTGTGAGGAGCTGGGAGAAGAAAACAGCAGGAGGGTGGAGGAAGGTTAGAGGCTTAGAGGAGCAGAGGACAGTGTGGTCACCCCTAGCACAGTGGTGGTGCATCATACATGTGAGAAATGGAGTTTTATGGTTGCCAGCTCAGTTGCTTCTCTGGTTTCAGAAGGTTAAGGTGTTCAGGCACTGGGATATTGCCCAGGGAGGTGGTAGAGTCACCATCCCTGGAAGTTTTGCAGAGGCATCTGGATCTGGCACTGGAGGATGTGGTTTAGGGATTCCAGCAGTGACAGGTTAATGGTTGGACTTGATGATTTTAGAGTTCTCCAGCCTTGATGATTCTATGATTCTAAGGTGTGAAAACTGCCTGTATCTCCCCAAAGACTCTAATATTATTCAGTTCTTGCTCTTGTCCTGCAGTTCTCAGATCAACAGTGCAAAGTGAGACTAGGACTGTTTGTAAATCTGTGTGTTCCCTACAGGAAAAAAAACCAAAACCTAAACATGTGAAGGGAAAAACCTTTGGTTGAACAGTCCAAAGATTCTTCTCTTTGCCTAATTAATCCCAACCCCCGAGGCCTTGTCTGTTGCCACTGGTCCTAGAGCTCACTGGATGCTCCTGGGACTGCAGAGGAGAGCCAGGGAAATTGTCTGGTTTGCTAATTGAGCAGGAAATTGAGTTTCCTTCTATGCTTTTTTCTTATCATCGTATGTTCTTCTCCTCCTACTCAGTGCAAAGTGTCAGATATCAGAGTTTGCCTGCTGTTCTGAGGGAAGGAGGTTCCCTGGGGAGTCAGTATATTGACGGGGGAAATATCCTGCAGTAATGACTCTACAGATGGGTGAGAGGCTTCAGAGGCCTGTGCATCACTGCGGGGGGCACAGGTCTCAAAGAGGACAGTTTTGTGTCTGAAAGGAAGTCAACAGATCTGGTCAGGTATCCTGGTTTTAGCCAGGATGGAGTTAATTTTCTCAGTAGCTAGTGTAGTGCAGTGTTTTGAATTCAGAGTGATAATACAATTTCTTTGAAGCTAAACGTGTGAGTAAAGACTAGAAATTTGTGGTTTTAGAGGTATAAGATATCCCTTTAAGGCAAATCTAAGGTGGTAAATGACTTCAGTAGTCTTCAGTATCTACAATCTGCACTAAAACAAAGCCACAACATGTTATAGAGCAGCTCAGTGAGAACAAGTACACTTGAGTTGTCTCCTTCAGCAGCATTTATCCATTGCATGAATCCCTCAAAGCAGTGTCATGGCCAGATTTGGTGGTGAACCTGAAAAGATAAATCGAAATAAATCTTGCACATCTAACCCCTGCCATGCTGTGATCAGGGTGTTGTTTGATCCAGCCAGCACTTAAGCCTCTTCCCCTCCTGTTGCTTTAGTGTCCTACCCATTTGGGCTCTGACTTGTAGCCAATTCATAGCCTTTTTATTTCCCTCTTTCTGGGGTTTGGTAACTAGCTGCAGCTGTATTTTATTTCAGGACAGGGCACAACTCCCAAGTTCTGTGGGTGTGAGTGAAAGAGAATGTCTTTTCTACTCCTTTATGAGTATGGATAAGACACTGATGCTTTGTTTCTGTGCTGTATCCGCTGCCATCAGCTGTGAGACACTGAGAAGTGGCAGCAGTCTACAAATGGTTTAAACCTTTTGAAACTTTCTTTGAAGAGGTGCAAGCAAGTAGCAGAAATGGAAACAGTATCTGGTTAGGAACTGCAGTGATAGGACAAGGAGTAATGGGTTCAAACTAAAGGAGGGGAAATTTAGGTTAGATACTAGAAAGAAGTTTTTTATTCTAAGGGTGGTGAGACACTGGCCCAGGTTGCCCAGGGAGGCTGTGTCTGCCCCAACCCAAGAGAGCTTCTTTCCTCCAGGAGCCTTTTGCATGAGACAAGGCTGAGAGAGACCATGTGGACCCCAAGGTTGAGTTTCCTTGTGCTTTTTCTTTCACTCTCTTTATGGCTTTTCCTTACTGAATCTTACAGGGGAAGGTAGTGAAGCTCTGAATGTTGGTGGTTTTTTTTATTGCAGCAAATTGGTTAAGTTATTAAGAGTAGCCAAGAGGCTTCAGGAAATGTTAATGCTTCTTTAATAAAACAGATGGGAGCTGTGTCAAACACTTGTGGATGGAGAATTTGAAGAAAATTATTCCAAGTGTTCCTTTCTCTTTTGCATTATTAAAATTGCAATAGAGTGAGAGTG